ATCATTATCATTATTATTATCATTATCATTATTATTATCATTATCATTATTATTATTATCATTATCATTATCATTATCATTATCATTATTATTATCATTATCATTATCATTATCATTATCATTATCATTATCATTATCATTATCATTATCATTATCATTATCATTATTATTATCATTATTATTATCATTATCATTATCGTTAGTATTATTAGTTAATCAATGACTGTACATCAAAATTAGTTACAACATGAACTTGAGCAAACGTCTTACGTACCATACAAGACATTTTTTAACATTTGTTAAAAACTTGTCTATTTAACAATGCAAATTAGTATTATTATAATAGTTATCATCAGCATTCTTATTATCATCAGTGTTATTATTATTATTGTTATTATTATTATTATTATTATTATTATTATTATTTTTCTTATTATTATTGTTATTATTATTATTATTATTTTTGTTATTATTATTATTATCAAGAGCTAGTAATATATTGTAATGTATTATATTATATATTGGATATATATATATTGGTATTATATATTGGATTGTTAGCTCTTTTTATCATTATTATGACAATAATTGTTGTTATTATTATCATCATTGTTATTATCATTCATCATTGTTATTATTATGACCATCAATCATTAACATTATTGTTATTATTGGTTATTAGGTGCGTCGTCTCGGCTGGAAGGTGCGGGGTCGTGAGATCACGCGCACCGTGCAGCTCGTCGTGACCCCGCGCGTCCGCGCCGAGGCTCGCCGCCACTTCAACTGCTCCACACTAGAGGGCGCTGAACTCGAGGACCAGGGCGTCGAAGGTAGAAGGGGCGGGGTTGGTGGAGATGGTTGCAGGGAAAAAATTAAAATTTATTTTTCGCGGGCTACTTTTCAAGCTCGCGTGCATGAAAATAGCACTCTAAAATTTGGTTTGCATTGAACTCCATGCAAAGTTACGGGGGCTCTTTTGGGCATTTCCGGGGCTAAATCGCCCCGAGCCCCCGTGTATTTTTTTCACTGGATGGTTGGCGCGAGAGTGGTGTGGAGGTGTGAGGGTTGAACTTGAGTGTGTGGGGGTTGGTTGGTTTCTGGGAATATTTGTTTCGCAATGCTCTATCTCTCTCTCACTGTCTCTTTCTTGCTCGCCCTCTCTCTCTCTCTCTCTCTCTCTCTCTCTCTCTCTCTCTCTCTCTCTCTCTCTCTCTCTCTCTCTCTCTCTCTCTCTCTCTCTCTCTNCTCTATCTCTCACTCTCTCTCTATCTCTCTCTCTCTGTTTCTATCTTGCCCTCTCTCCCGCTCTTTCTCTCTGTTTCTTTCTTGTTCTCTCCTCTCTCTCTCTTTCTCTTTCGCTTTTTTCTCTCCCTCTTGCCCCTCTCCCTTGCCTATCTCACTCACCTCTCTCTCTCTCTCTCTCTACGCTACCACCACCAGGCACGAAGCTGACGCACTGGGAGAAGCGCGTCTTTGAGAACGACGCGATGACGGGCACGCACACGCAGAACCCGATCTTCTCCCGCATCACGCTCGCGCTCATGGAGGACACGGGCTGGTACCGCGTCGACTACTCGATGGCGCAGCCGCTCGCCTGGGGCCGCAACCTTGGCTGCGACTTCGTCAAGCGAAGCTGCAAGGAGTGGATGGACACGCGGCCGGGCAACATCCATCCGTTCTGCAATAAGATAAAAGAGGTCGGTTTCGGGCTTCGCCGTCTGAGAAAACCACGGCGCCTAAAAAAAAAGTCTGCGTCATTTACTCGACGGCGCCGATTTTCTTTAGGCGGGGCCGATTTTTTTTACCGGGAAAAAAAGCGCCGCGGACACCTGAGATGGGGCTGTTTGCGTGGCTTGGGCCGATCGCCCCCCGTGAAAAGGCAAAGCCTGGTCGGTGCTTCCGGTTCATCGGAAGATGCCTGTGTCTCACACCAACATACATACACACCGAACACAGAACATACAACCACAGAACCGCACAGAACCGCACACACAGAACCGCACACGCAGAACCGCACACGCAGAACCGCACACGCAGAACCGCACATGCAGAACCGCACACGCAGAACCACACACGCAGAACCGCACACGCAGAACACAACGACAGAACAGCACACACAGAACCGCACACACAGAACACAACGACAGAACCGCACACACAGAACCGCACACACAGAACACACAACGACAGA